TCTACGGCAGGCCAGCCCGTACGGCAGGCTTCAAACGGATGGATGGACAGAGGGTGGGAACGGAGAGAGGAGGTAGAGAGGACTGCTGTCAGCCGGCGAATGAAAAGCGCTTAAGAAGCTGCGTGGCATGCACCTAACAATGACCTTACCTACCTCTGACGCACGAATTGTTCGTATATACCAAAAGTACACCGGCTGATTCGGCAAATATAACGTACGTTATTTTACGCTATTCTTCGTACGCGTCTCGTTGTACACCCGGTTTATATACCAAAGCACGCTCCAACACACCTATACTTCTTTATCCTTATAATATTCGTTTCGAGTCCGTACCGAGAATCTTTTTCGATCTCTCGTTTTCGATCTTTTGCGATCTTCCATTTTTTTTTTTTTTTTTTTTTTAATCATCATTTCTTTTCCATTTTTTTCCATTTCGCATTCAGTTTCGAAAAGAAAACTGAAGAAGAATCACTTCCACGCCGAATCGTTAAAAAATATTCTTTGGAATACGTAATATGGTCGAATCTCCGATGGAAACGTATGGTCGTTAAGGGGTTGCGGTTTTTCGATAGTTAAACTCGAAGGGGAGATAACGGGATAAGTGAACGGATAGAGCGTAACGCGCGAGAAAGAAGGAGAGAGGGTGGAAGAGGATCCTGGAAGCGAGCGCGCCGCGTGGCTGAATGAAAAGGAAAGACGTATCCATGCGTCACGAACACGTAGGGATATTATAGGTTACCCTGTCTATCTACGGATAGTCCGAACGATAGTTCGAAACGACGATGGACCACGCCCTCCCTCGGCCTGCCATCTCTCCAACTCTTCGACCAACTCTAGACGATCGATCCTTTCCTCGCGACAAGCTGGCAAAAATTACCACCGCAAAAGTCGAGCACGAAACGGGACAACTGAATACGCCCCTGGAGCGACCCGAGGCCTGCCTCTCCGGCCAATCGATACCATACCGTGTGCCTCTTCCGTTTGACAGCCTTTGCGACGTTTCTCTCCCTGCTTATTTCGTTCTTTTTCCTATTTTTACCATCTCTCTCTCTCTCTCTCTCTCTCGATTCTTCTTTCTCGTCAGCCAGAAACACGACATTTTTCCTTTCTCCTCGAACCGGAACAGGGGGGATGGATTCGTATCGTAAGTAAAGCGAAACGAAGCATGCCTCGACGGTCGATCGCATTCCTTCGAACGAGAAAAAAAAAAAAAGAAAGAAAGAAAGAAGAAAAATAAACTCTGTTAATCGCTATAATAACGACACATCGGCGTGGCGAACGATCGATTGGCCCGAGACGATCTGATGTGCAATGGGCCCATCCATGGTTGGCTCCACGTGCCATCCGCTTGCTCGCTTCCCGACATTTCTGATCCATCCGTTTCCGCGAAAAGCGTGTGCAACTTAACGAGCAATTGTTCTCCATCTAGTTCCTTGCTTTTCGTGATTAATCGAAAGTTTCCAATTGCCGCGCCACTACCGTGTAGTATCTGCCTGTTGGTTGGCGCGTTCGTTAACAGCGGCGTATGCATATGTGTGTGTGTTTACTTTGCTCGATCGTTCATTAAAATTCGAGCCGATGCGCGTGTTATTTCTTCCCGTCACGGTGTTGTATTGGACTTTGGAGAGAGCTTTTACGAGGAACAGAGCGTATGCGTGTGCGTGCGTATGTTTACATGTGCGCCGCGTGTCTACCTTTTGCGAAACGCGCCGCGTGTCGCCTTGTTTATCCATCGCCGCCATCGCCGTCGTCGACGGCTCTGGTGTTGTGGCGTTGACGATCCTTTTCCTCGGTTCTCGAAAATGACTACTACTACGGAAAATCTTCGTTTTTTGAGGGGTGAAGCTAGCTAATCAACTACTACTGTA